GGGGTTCGATTCCCGGTCAGGGCACATGCCCAGGTTGCGGGCTGCAGCTGATTAATGACTCTCTCATCATTGATGTTTCTATCTCTCTCCCTCTCCTTCCCTCTCTCTGAAATCAATAAAGATATATTTAAAAATAATAATAATAAAAAAATAAAAGACGGCAAAATAACTTTGGACTGGGCCTAAAGCAACATTGTGCCCTGTGGACAAAAATGGGTTCTACAGAAAGTAACCTCATAAGATGATCTGAAGTGAATTGTAGGACACCCAGCTGGTGTTGGAGAATTGCTTCAGGGTGTGGAGGGAAACCCCGAATATTGGAATATTGGAAACCCCAGAATTATAACATAAACAGGTGCTCAAAATCATGTCATCTGGGAAATGGGGAAATGCAAATCAAAATCACCACAATATATTACTTCATCCCCACTAATATGGCTAGAATCAAAATTTCAGATAATAACAAATGTTGCTGAGGATGTGGAGAAATTGAAACTCTCATCACTACTGCTAAGAATGTAAAATGGTCAAATCAACCACTTTAGAAAACAGTTTTGTAGTTCTTCAAATGATTGATCATGCCATTGCCATGAACCTCGCAAACGTTATGTTAAATGAAGAAGCCAGTTCCAAAAGAATATGAGTACATAATTTCATTTATATCAAATTTCCAAAATAGAAAAATCTATAGAGACAGAAAATATATTAGTGGTTGTTTTGGCCTGGAAAGAATGGGGAGAAAAGGGGAGTGATAACTAAAGAGTACTTTTTGAGTTTCTTTTTGAGATGATGGAAATGTCCTAAAATTGACTGTGGTGATGGTTGCACATATCTTTGAATATACTAAAAACTACTGAAGTGTACACTTTAAATGGTAAATCTCATCATATCTGAATTATAGTTCCATAATGTTGTTTTAAAAAGATACAGAGGTAGATAAAACAAAAATCCTAGAAGGAAACATAGGTAGTAAAATCTCAGACATCTCATGTAGCAGCATTTTCACCAATACATCTCATAGGGCAAGAGAAACAAAGGAAAAAATAAACAAATAGGACTACATCAAAATAACAAGCTTCTGCACTGCAAAAGAAACCATCAACAAAATAAAAAGAGAACCCACTATATGAGAGAACACACTTGCCAATGATACATCTGATAAGGGCTTAATTTCCAAAATATATAAAGAATTCATACAACTCAACATCAGGAAGACAAACAACACAATTAAAAAATAGGAGAGGAGAAACAAGATGGCGGTGTAGGTAACAGCTGCACCCGCCACCTCTCACAACCACATCAAAATTACAACTAAAATACA